ATGCAAATTAGTGCAAGCACAAATTTTGAAGTTTTATATCCATGGAAATTTGAAATTGAGGTAAATAGTCCTCAATATGAAGATCTACATAAATAAATAAAAGTATTTGTATGAATATGTCATAGAAATATATGGGCGGCCCGAACCCACTCATTTGAGCCCAATGTGGCCCGACTCATGAATGTTCTCACAAACCAGTCCATTTCATATTAAAAAATTTAATTGTACATATTTAGTCTCTATTATGCGTTATATTTGGTCTAAATTGTAACATATTTAATTTAAGATACTATATATTTAATCTATAATATGCAATATAGTTTAATCTTATTATTATTATTATTATTATTATTATTATACAATGGGGAAAGCTTAGCCTAACCCAGCCAAGTACGAAGAGGCCCGGCACCCATGGGCGGGTTTGGGCCAAGGCATTAAAACCCAACTACAACCCAACTCAACCCTAAATAATGATTATATCGAAAATGACCAATACATGTAGAAGTAAATCCCAAAATTGTAGCATTGAGTTGGCCCGGCTTGACTCATTGTCTAATCATATATTAAGTGGATGAAGTAAATGAATCTCCACAATTGAAGAGAGAGAGACAAAATTAAAGTATTTGAAGTGTGCTTGAACTCTAAGTTGTTAAAGATTATCATGTTGTAGATTTGGAATGTGCTCAAGTAGTTTATCACCACAAGTATGCAAATTAGTCCCAACAAAATTTTTGAAGTTTCACGTCTATTGGAATTTGAAATTGAGGTCAACATTCCTCCATATTCCAAAAGAAAGTTTTTTAATCCCCTGTAATCTATGTAAATTTTTTTCCTTGCTCTTTCCACCACCATACTGTTAAACCAACTTAGCAAGGTATTGATTGTTGTATCAAACCCCAAGAGTCTTGACAATCTGAATCACTAAAATCCTCCATCGAGTATGAGGGTCTTGGTTTACCTTTGCTAAATATGCAGAATTTTTCCCAATTTGGATTGAACCAAACATCTTTAGGAATAAATTGTGCATCAAAAATTTGAACTATCAAAAAGATTAAGTATGACAAGCAAGTTAACTCATCAAAGCCAACATTAATTCCTTCTCCTGCTCCTTCAACTTTACTCCCCAAGTCTCCAAAACTACTTTGGATGAGTAGTTCGTCTAACCTATACAACCTAGAAATTACTTTGGGTGGAATTATCTTAACCCTTGTATTCAAATTCAAATCCAACGACCTTAGATTGGCCAAGTTTCCTATTTATTTTGGTAATTCCTCAAGTTTCTTTGGTTCTCCAAGTGCGGAGATATCCTTTAATAACCATTGGAATTCATCTTGATGCAATGTTTGGAGGTTTGTTAGGGAATTGAAATATGAGGGTAATAATGAAATACAAGTTTAGCTAAGGTCTAAGATCCCACTTTACATCCACTGTCCCTCTATGTTCTTGCCTTAATTTGTTGACACCTGACATGCCACTTAACCCTACTTTAACAGAGTTATTCCTACTCCTAATCTGTTTTCTTTTCCTACTCTTTATCTAAAAAAGATATTATAATTAATTTAAATTTATTCTCTCTACCCAATAATCCTAGCCTATCTCCAAACCCTTCAACGCTGCACCAATGGGGGGAGGTGGTATTTGCTCCTTTTTGTGGGTCATTGTATTATTCTTTATGGTTATTGTATTTGTATTACCCTCGTGGCCTAAGTTATGGATACAATCTCCTTACGGTGTGACTAAAAAAATGATATTATAATTTATCTTTTAACATAGAATTACCTTAAGGGTTTATTTGGAAGTGATTCTCTCCACAACCACTCGAAGTGATTATATGGAGAATTGATTATATATAGAACTGATTCTACAGAGAATTGATTATTGGACTATTCAAAATCACTCCCAAACGTGCTCTAAATAGTATTTGGAGAAATAGTACCTGAATTAAACTTACTATTATGTGTTGAGTGGGGGAGTTGATATAGGCTATGGGAAGATATTACAGGGAAAGGATCCATCCCCAACGACAACACGACGTTGTATAACCGTAACTATTGTAGACTTCCAAAAGCTCTGCATAACCCGAGAGCAATAGCAAAGATGAACTCACGCAAACTTCAATGCATATAAAAAAATTACTTGAATCCGATATCATGACCATTCAATTAAATTATTGAAATTTAAGTACTTTCTTGAAGCACCATGTTCATTGATTTTGTTGGTCTCAATTAGATGCCTTAATGATTTAAATTTGTCTGATTTTTTACAAGGTTGATCTATGAATGAAGACTTAAAAATAAATGGTTTGGATTTTTTAAAAATACAAGTAGGGTACCCTAAAGAGTGTCCCTCAAATAAAATAATTTGAGGGATCCCTCAATGGAAGAGAATTATATATATATATATATATATCCTATTTTGAGATGAATTGTGTTAAGCTAAAGGGTTATGTTTCGTGTTCCTGTGAGTGATATTTGTTAACAGTTGATGTGGAAAGGTTACCTTTTTATTATAGTTTTCTTTGTTCATTACTTGATTTCTGGGTTTCACCTACTGTTTTATCACTAATTATCGCATTTAGGTTGTTTACGAGCACAATATATATATCATCCTGTTTTTTTGTATGAATATATACAAAGATTTTCAGGTGGTTTTCGAAGGTTTTAAAAATAGAGGTGTTAGTATGTTTTGTATACTATTTTCGAGAACTTTATTTTTTGTCCACTTACATTGTGAGAACCTTTAAAAAAAACTATATATATATTAATATTTTAAAGAAATATTCATATTACATATTAATTAATTATTTATAATCACTCTAAATCAAATCATCATTGCCATGCCACCTTGCATGCCAGTAACAAGTGGTGTTGTGGTACTATTGGCCAAAGGGGGATGAGTCACATTATTTCCTTAGTTTTCTATCTTATCTTCTGGTGGTTTAGAATATTATATATATATATATATTATTTGTTTGAATCCGTAGCCTCTCCTATAAATATATATATATATATATATTATTTGTTTGAATCCGTAGCCTCTCCTATAAATATCATAATTCCTAACTTCAATCATTCATTCCAATTCTTTAGAATATATTTCTACCATGAAGTAGTGTTAGAGAGAGAGAGAGAGAGAGAGAGAGAGAGAGAGAGAGAGAGAGAGAGAGAGAGAGAGAGAGAGAGAGAGAAGAAAAGAAACAAGATGAAGAACATGTGTATTTGTCTTGCAATATTTCATATGTATCATGTGTTGAGAGTGTTTGTCCCACATTGAAAAGTTAAGGGACTAAGCCTGGGTTTATAAGGAGTTGGGCTACTCCCCCCCATTGCCAATTGGTTTTGGGGTGGAACCTCAACTTCCTTCATCCACACGTGGGCTAGGTACAATTTGTGAAGGATAACCAAGATATGAAGTAATGATGTGATAAGATTTGAATTGTATATCTTTTCATTATATTTTCTAGAGTGAGTAAAATGGCATTGCTTGACTGAGATATTATATAACCTACTCACGGAGTGGTGGTTTGCTCATCCCACACCTATTTTGTTTTTCAGATCAATTAGTGGGCAAAGACAAGGACTAAATTGGAGAAGTTTGATTAGTTGAGATGGATAAAGTTTATTTATATCTTGTACCCTTGTAAGATTATTATTATTTTTATAAGGGAAATATATTTTAACCAACTTTTCAGTCATTTTATTTTATTTCCTTCAATTCAAGCACCTTGATTTGAGAATATTCCTTATTTCCGTATCGGGATGAGACACACATTTTCTTATTTTGCCTCCCAGGACTAGAATACAGGGTCAAGGGTGCCACGTCAAGGAAATCGTCTTTCTTGGTCCATGTTTCCACCTTTGTAGGGTTTAGTTACTTCTTTTGAATTTTCTAATCTTTTGTAAACTAAATTTAAATAGAATTTCTCTGATGATGCATTAGTAGGTTGTATAAAGGGCCTGAGGCTAGTAAAGAAGTTTGTGTGCCCTTACCTTGTGTGTACTGAACGTTTGGGATTATGAATTATTTCTGCATGTGGATTTCAGATTTGAGTTAAAAACATAGTAGACTCTGCCGGCTTTTCGGCATAAGCCATTACCCTTGGTGGTTTTAGAATTAGGGTTAAGAGCATTTTGGTAAAGTGGGCCCGACACTTGTGAGGTGTCGGACATGCATAGGGTGTCAAACAAAGTAGGGCAAATATTCAGTTATATTCAGATATGCTCATATATGTATTCTTCTCCAATATAGAGGTATTTATAAAGAAATATAAAGATGTGTTAACCCTAAATAACATAGGAAATAAATCCAAACTACTATAGGAAATAAATCTAAATGCAATAGGACTAAATAAGTAATCAAAAACCAAACTAAGTAAGAACTCACCAACACATGGTTCATCACGAATTCAAAGGGGGATTTGGAGAGGTTCTATCAACTTGGTATTATAGCATTATGTTAAATTTATGAAGACTTTGCACCTTGTAGGCATCTTTATTACGGTAAGTATTATTTTTTTTTTTTTTTTTTTTTTTGTTGGAATAAGGGGAACCCCCAGAAGACAACAACTAAACACCACACATGAGTCGAGGCCTAGCAAGACCAAGTAAGTCGTCCATCAACAGAGAGCTAACCCAGATAGGGGCCTCATCAAAGAAGCAAAGTCCCAATTCCATATTATAACTCCAGTTTGCCAAACAATCCGCAACACAATTCTTTTCCCTGTAAATGTGGACAATGTGACAATTTCTAATTTGTCTCATAAGATCACAGCAACTATGCACCAAAGAAACAAGAGGATGGCATTGCAATGAATTGATTTGTTGAACAAGTGAGACAACAACAACAACATCCATTTCAATAGCAAGATTAGTGATACCTTTCTCAACAGCAAGCTTTAGACCAAAATATAGTCCCTAAACCTCAGCCTCTAGGATATGACCTTGGCTCAAATTCACAGCAAAACTAGCAATCCAGTCACCTGAGGAGTCTCAAATAACACCTCATGCTCCAATAATATTAGTGGCAGCCCTTATAGAACCATCCACATTCGGCTTAAGTTGGCCAATTGTAGGAGGTTCCCAAGCCAAAAAAACATGTACTCTATCAGGTTTCTTGCCAAAGCCATTAGCGGCTTTAACCCACTCAACAACCGCAGTAAAGATGGTTTTCCTAGGACTAAAAGGCAAAACCACTTCAACGTTAAAAATCTGCTTGTTACGCCAATTCCAGATATACAAATAAGTAATAGTAAAAATAATATTCCAACCAATACCATCAGGGCCTTTAACCTTAGAGAGTAGATTGCCTAAGAACCAAGGTAAGCTCATATAGGAATAAGTGAGGCGAATAATGTAAATTTAAAACAGAATTCCATACCATCATAGCCCTGTGACAGTCCTTAAGAATATGAATAACATATTCCGTTTGCCAACCACAAAGAAGACAAGAAGGATAAGAAGTTAGATTCATCTTGGTTCTTTGCCCATTGGACAAGATTTTACCTTGATAAGCCAGCCAAATGAAGATATGAATTTTGGGAGGGATTTTCATTCTACATAGTCCTTCCAAAAGGGATCAACATCTCCCAATTCTCTATAATAAAAAATAGAGTATGCATATTTAATAGAGAATAAGCCATTTGAAGACAAACCCCATATTTGAGCATCATGTACAGAGTTCCCAAATCCAACAGGAACAACAATGATCTTTTGAACCAAATCTTCAGTAAGAGCATTCCTCAGCTGGTCCAATTCCACCAACCATTCCTAAAAAAGCTGTCAACGCTACAATTCAATTCATGGATATTCAACACCCCATTATGTTGCATTAGAGGTGTATCAAATAACCATTTATCTGTCCAAAATTTGGCCAAATCACATTTTCCAACCCTCCAGGTCATTCCCTTTGCAAGCAGTTCAGCTCCAAAAAGAATATTGTTCCAAGTTGAGGAGCACAAATGTCTTGTTTTCAGATTAGGATCAATAATAGAGTAACCTTTGAGGTATTTCTTTTCAAAAATTTGAGCCCATAAGCCATTATCTTTGTTGTGCATCCTCCAACCGATTTTAGCCAAAAAAGCCTAATTCATGTCCCTAGCCCTCTTGAAATCCAACCACCTTTGTTTTTAGGTCTATACAATATATTCCATTGGCAGAGATGGACTTTCTTCTTCCTATCACTTCCTTCCCAGAAGAAATTTCTATTTAACCTATCCAAATCTTCACAAATACTAACAGGTAATTTTGTGGTCTACATAGAATATATGGGAATAGCATATGTGATAGCATGGATTAGAGTTGCCCTCCCAGCTGAAGAAAGCAACTTACTTTTCCAATTGGCAAGCATGCAGTGAACCTTACTAAGCAAACTGCTGTAAGTGGATCGAGTTACCTTATAGTGCAAGATAGGCATCCCCAAGTATTTTCCTAGGTTGTATGTTGAAGGGGAGCCACAAATGAAACTAATATATTAAGCTAACGCCCTGCTGGTATTAGGAGAACAAAATACAGCAAACTTGTCAAAATTGACAGTTTGACCAGAGGCTTGACAAAATAAATCCAAGCACCCTTTCATCACCTTAGCTTGTTGCGTACTAGATTTAGCGAAAAGGATTAAGTCATCGGCAAAAAAAAATGCGATACAGCATGACCAGTTTGGGAGGACTTAACAGGTTTTCATTTCCCCCCTATTGATAGTATCAAAGATTATATGAGATAGCTTTTCAATGCAAACCACAAAGAGGTAGGGAGATAGGGGATCTCCTTGTCGAATAAAAGGTTGAGAGAGCTCACCATTAACACAAACTTGATATCTTACAGAAGAAACACAACTCATAACCAGCTGAATGAAGTTACTGGGCATGCCAATTTCACCAAAGACCTTTTCAATAAACTTCCAATTTAATCTATCATAGGCTTTAGATAGATCAATTTCTAGGCAATAAAGCCCTTCTTACCCTTAGAACATTTGAACTTATGCATCAATTCCTGAGCAATGAAGATGTTATCTGTGATTTATCTTCCAGAGATGAAACTAACCTGATTAGGACTGATGATTTTAGGCAAAATAGGCCTTAATCGAGCAACCGATAATTTAGAAATTACCTTATAAAGAGTGCAACAAAGACTGATGGGTCTGCATTGCATCATGGAGTGGGGGTTCTCAACCTTGGGGATCAAAGTGATTAGGATATCATTGAGTTACTTAGGGACAGAAAATTCATGAAAAGCCTTACGAACCATGGCGAAGATTTCATCAGCACAGAGAGCCCAATTATTATGATAAAAAGAGGTAGGGAACCCATCCACACATGTGCCCTAAGCCCTCCAATTTTAAAAAAACTCTCATTAACTTCGAACAACTCAACACTCTTAACCAGATAGTTCAGATCAGCCTCCTGAATAGAAGGATAAAGGTTGGGTATATCTTGAGTGGAATTAAGAGAAATAGATTGTGATTGCTAGCTCTTTAAGACCATCAGCATCTTCCACCCATAACCCCATCACAATTCTTCCATCTCTCAATCTTATTGCACCTTCGCCTAATAATTGTAGTCATATGAAAAAATTTGGTATTTCTATCCCCTTCTTGCAACCATTTCAATCTAGACTTTTGTTGCCATAATAAAGCTTCTTCATCAAGAATGCCATTGTACTCCCCAATCAGAACATCTTCAAGATTGCCCAAAGCCATATTTGGCCCTATACACAAAGCTTCCGGCATTCCAACTAGCTTGGCTAAAATTATAGCTTTCTATCGAAGATGCCCAAAAACAGTAGTATTCAATTGTTTCAGAGGCTCAATTAAATAGCAAGATTTCTTCAACGCATCACCAGTTGCTTGCTCCCACCATTGAGTGATAAACTCCTTGAACTCATAGGTTGTTTAAGGTATGTACACAAAATTTCGACTTCGACTAATTAATCCTCAAGTTATTGGGTTTCCAAAAGTTATTTTTGGGGGACTTGTTTTGAAAATTTTCTAACCAGAGAGTTATTTATGGTCTCAAGAACTGCAGTGGCATAATTGTAATGTTGGAGAAGTCAAATTTTTAAAACCCAATAAGCTTCTTATCTCTCTTCTCCCGAGTTCTCGCTCTTCTCCCAACAGTGATTGTTCGAGTTCCAGGTCAACCATCTTCGCCGTCATGTCACGGCGGACGACACCACTGCCCACAAAACACTATCCTCTTCCTCCTCTACACATCCCTCCCTTCACAGCCGTCAATAACTCGAGATTTCGCCAAATTTTCGACTGGAAATTATGGCCAATACTGTTAAAATTGGTAAAAGGGAAGAACTTGCAGAGAAATTTCTCTTATGTTTTCATTGATATTTTAGCAAGCATATACAAATCTTAAATACAAGAAAGGAAAAGCTATACAAGTAAAGTTAACTAAACTTATGCCTAAAGTCTTGCAACTGATTACAATCAGAATACTTGAAAGATTGCATAAGAGTAGATCCTACAATTATGGCTTGACATAAACATGACTAAAGAGATTTGTTGTTTCTCAATATGCCCCCTCAAGTTGGAGCATGGATATCCAAAGCTCCTAACTTGCGTAGATGGTGATGGAACAGTGCACTCCCAAGAGGTTTTGTGAATGTATCTGCAATTTGATGGGCAGAAGGTACATGAGTAGTTGCAATAAGACCTGATTGGATCCTTTCACGCACGGTATGGCAATCTAACTCAATATGTTTTGTACGCTCATGGAATACGGGATTTGCCGTTATGTGTAAGGTAGCTTGGTTATCACATAACAAGGTTGCTGGTTGTTCATGCTTAATTTGCAAGTCTTCCAAAATATATTTCAACCATACCAACTTGCAGGTTATAGAGGCCATAGATCTATACTTTGCCTCTGCTGATGAACATTACACAATGGTTTGTTTCTTGTTCTTCAAAGATGTAAGTGCATCACCAAGGAATATGCAAAAACCCGTGACTGACCTTCTTATGGTAGGACACCCAGCCTAATTAGCGTCGCAATAACCCCTTAGTTGTAATGAACTCTATGTGGGAAACAAAATATCCTAACATGTTGCCTTCTTTAAATAACGTAAGACACAATGAGATGCCTCTAGATGCAGCTTCCTTGGTTGCTACATAAATTGACTAAGAATGTGCACTGAGTAGGTAATGTCTGGCCTTGTGATGGTAAGGTATATAAGATGCCCAACAAGTCGCCTATATTGTGAAGGATCCTTGAGCAATTCACCGTCAGTTGGAGTCAATTTCAAGTTCTGTTCCATTGGAAAGTTGACAAGTTTTGCACCAAGTAGCCTGACATCTTCAAGAATATCTATTGTGTATTTTCGTTGAGAAATGGAAACGCCTTTCTTTGAACGGGCAACTTCCACTCCAAGAAAATACTTGAGATTTCCTAAGTCCTTGATTTGAAAATTGGTGTGAAGGAACTTTTTAAGGTCTTGTATGGCTTTGTCATCATTTCCTGTAATTATCATGTCATCAACATAAATCAATACTGATGTAAATGATTCACCACATACACAAGTAAATAATGAATAATCTGCCTTTGATTGGGTATAACCAGCACTCTGAATAGCAGTAGAAAATTTATAGAACCAATTACGAGATGCCTGCTTGAGCCCATACAATGACTTGTTGAGTTAACACACCATATTCGCCCCCTATCGACGAAAACCATGAAGAGGCAGCATATAAACTTCCTTATCCAAATCACTATGGAGGAAAGCATTTTGCACATCTAGTTGGTGAAGGGACCAGCCACGAACAGCAGCAATGGAAAGCAAACATTTGACAGTGACAAGTTTTGCAACTGGAGCAAATGTCTCTGTATAATCGAGACCCTCTATTTGAGTATATCCTTTTGTCACTAACCCGGGAGCATTGATAATCTTGGAGCCATGATGGTGGTTAGAGGTCTCTTTGGCTACGACATGGTGCAACAAGAGGAGTGGGAGTGGATAAGGATCTGTCATGTTGGTCAGATTCGTTGGATTGAGGTGATGTGTTTAGTTCAAGTTGAGTAATAGGTGGTGTGTCAATGTATGTAGGTGATGGTGTTTCATGTGGTGGGCCAATATGTGTAGGTGGTGGTGTTTCAGGTTGTGTATGACTTGGGGTGTCTAGTGCTGGTATTGGTGTAGAGTGGGAATTAATGACATCGTGAATAGGCAAAGGTACACATAGATGTTCAAAATGATCAAGTTGGGTGTCACAAGGCAAGGTAGAAAATGGAAAATTTTGTTCATGAAAAACGACGTCTCAGCTAGAGAAGAATGTCTTAGTTTGAAGGTCATATAGTTTATAGGCTTTTTGACCCAATGGATACCCAACAAATATGCATTTTCTTGCTCATGAATCAAGCTTTGAAGAAGGTTTGGTATTGGTGGCATAGCATAAGCAACCAAAGACTCTTAAGTGGTGATATTGGGGTACCTATTTATTGAGCATTTCATATACTTTTGGAAAGCAAAAGGGTTGGTAAACGGTTGATAATATATGTAGTAGTTTGAATGCTTTCCCCCCAAAATTTTAAGGGAAGGTGTGCTTGAAAACGTAAGGCTCGTGCGACATTAAGGAGGTGGTGGTGTTTGCGCTCAACGACACCGTTTTGTTGGGGGTGTAGAAGGACAAGAATTCTGGAAAATGATGCCCAAATCATTAAAGAAAGGACACATGGAAGTAAATTCTGTTCCATTATCGAAACGAACCTGTTTAACATGACATTGGAATTGTTTTCACACGAAAGCAAAGAATGATTTTAAAAGGCCATGTGTTTCATATTTAAATTGCATAAGATGAACCCATGTGTGACGAGAAAAATCATCCACGATGGTTAAAAAATAACGAGCACCAAAATGTGAATTAATGCGATGAGGTCCTCATATATCATAGTGTATCAAATCAAAGGGTGCAAGCGTAGAAATAGAACTTAAAGAAAATGGTAGACGTACGAGTCTATTTGGCCATTGGACAGATTTCACAATGAGAATTTAAATTGAAGGGAATACCATATACGGATTTGGACAGAAATTGTAATGGGGCAGTAGATGGGTGCCCAAGACGACGGTGCCACAAATCAGAATTGGTAGAGGTGGTATGCGCTATAGGTGGCGGTTTGATATTCGTGGGCTTGGTAAGATAATATAGGCCATTATGCTCATTTCCCAAGCCAATCACCTTCTTCATTGTCAAGTCCTGTAGAATACAAAATCCTGGGTGGAAAATAACAGTGCAATGAAGGTCACGGGTTATCTTACTCACTGAAAGCAAATTGACATTGAAGGAGGGAACATAAAGGACATCTTTAATAACAAGGTTATAATTAATTTTCAAGGAACCAGTAGAAATGATATCAACACGTGATCCATTTGGCAACTCGACATAAGAAGGATGTGATGCCGATGTATGCAAGAGATCAGGTGATGATGTTATGTGGTCAGCGGCACCACTATCGATTATCCAATCCTGAGAACCTTGATGAAAAGAAGCAACATGACATTTGGAAATGGATGTACCTGTGACTTTTTCACAAAACTGAAATTTACCATCACGTAACATAACCTTAATCTAATGGTATTTGTGTGCTGTGAATTGAGGGATTCCATGAAAAGAATTGTCACTTTTGGAAGGAGTACCTTGTGCATTCTGTGCCAAGAAGTGCTTGCCTTCACAGTATGTGCAAAAGAAGGATTTTCCTTTGATATCTCGAGACGTATTGTCGACGCCCGTCATCTTCAAAGTAAGTGTTACAATGGAATGAAATGAGGCTTAGAGTATTGAAGATCGATGCTCTGATACCATGTTAAAATTGGTAAAAGGGAAGAACTTGCAGAGAAATTTCTCGTGTTCTCATTGATATTTTAGCAAGCATATGCAAATCTTAAATACAAGAAAGGAAAAGCTGTACAAGTAAAGTTAAATGAATTTGTGCCTAAATACCCCCTCGATGCCGGTTGTTACAGCGCCCATATAGGAGATTTCCGATCACCACCAGCAGCCATTGTTGTACCAGAACACTCCCCCGACCTTCCTCTACCTTTTGCTTCCAAGAGCCGACACATCTCATTGTCGAAGAGCTCAAATTGCCGCCAGGAATATCCTAGATTTCTGGAGGGAAAACCGGCCGTTGTAGGCCATCAACGGTCCAATCACACTTCGACCTAAGATTTTGGCAGCCGCATACTACTCAGGATAAACCTGATAAGGGTTCAACGTGCGTGGACCATTTGTCAGTGGACTTGTGTTTTCCAAATGGTTTTCAGAATCTATTTGCTTTGTGCCCTAAATATTGTTTGGAGAAATAGTACATGAATTAAACTTACTATTATTTATTGAGTGGGGGAGCTTGACATAGAAGATATTATAGGGAAATGAGCCATTCCTAGACAGCAAGGCGTGTACACTGTTGTAGACTTAAAAAAAAGCTCTGCATAATCCCAATTAGCACTAATTCGAGCATAACTAGCAATCAGTTTGAGGCATGCATCATCAATCACCCTTAAAGGCACTTCCCAATGAAAATGCATCAATGTGGTTTCAACTTGAATGCATATACTGGGAAGTGCCCTTAAGGTATGCTGCAAAAAATTTGATAATTCAGAACTATTTGGGAAATTACTTCATGGAAACACGGTCAAACTAGGGTTGGACTTGGACGTTGTTGTTGGCACAACATTGCTTGATATGTATGCAAAGACTAGTGATTTAGGTGATGCGATACAAATTTTTAAAGTCATGGCTTATCGTAATGTTGTAATGTATAATGCCATGATTGCTGGGTTCCTCCAAATAGATACTTTTCTTATGAGCACGCAAACAAAGTGTTCAATCTTCTATCTTAGATGCGAAGGTTAGGACTCAAGCCCTCAACATTTACTTTCTCAATAATACTTAGAGCTTATAAGTCGGTTGAAGCTTTTGGGTAAGGGAAACAAGTTTACACTCGATGAATTCAGTGGAAGTGTACTTATCAATTTCTACTCTTCATTGGGTTTATTTGAGGATGCATTCAAATTCTTCCCTCCTAAGCAAACCGAATAAGGGTTGACGCATGTGTGTAGACTACACCAGCCTCAATCGAAGAAGGGTTGACCCAAGGATAGCTTCCCACTTCCTCAAATCAACCAGCTTGTCGACTGCACGACAGGCTATGCCCTTCTCAGCTTCATGGATGCCTACTTAGGGTATAACCAGATCTTCATGCACCCTGACGATCAAGCCCACACATCCTTCATTACCGACCGGGGCTTATATTGTTATAAGGTGATGCCATTACCGACCGAGGCTTATATTATTATAAGGTGATGCCCACACATCCTTCATGTTCATCACAGTTATTGCTTGAAGCAACCTCTGTAAGCAAGCCCCAAGCAAAAAAGTGGTTATGGATATTTAGCACCAAAAGCCTAATTATTGAGAAGGTTACTGCATCCACAAGCAGAGATGAAAGCATAATTGTGGAGAAGTCAGGGAATGTCAAGGCTTCTAGTTCACTAGGTGCTTCTTGTTCCACTTTTTCAATTAGGGTGTTTGATAATTGAAAATACCTATAGGATGGCTTAAAACACCAAAAGCGTAAAGTCTGTGTTTTAAGTAGTTAAGAGTATTACGATAATACAAATAAAACACGTCAAGGGGATTGAAACATCAGTTCAGATTATAAAAGCAATGAAGAACACATAAAGTATTTTACTTGGTAAAACCCCACCTCTGGGGAAAATCCATGGGACCTGATAGTCCAAGGCAAATCCACTATTGAACGATGATTACAAGAAGTATACGCACTTGTCCTAGACACTCTAGACAATGTACCAACTTCTTCGTAACTCAACTTCTAGCAGGATTTTTCCTTCTCTCCTTATGTTGAATCCAATTCTTAACGTTATCGAGCCAAGCTCACCAGAGTTATGAGAACCTTTTAACTTATGCAAATGAATGCAAGGACAAATCACCAAGATAATCTTACTCTTGATGATTTATCCTTATGAACAACAAAGCACAACAACTTTCTTTTGTGTATATGAAAACTCAAAAAATACTCTAGTCGTTGAAAGTTGTAAGATGAATGAAACCAAGCCTTGCTTTTTATAATGGTTTTCAAAACTAGAAACAAGATCAATTAGTTCCTAATCAACAGATTAATTTTTCAAAATTAGACTAATTGATTTCCAATCAAAGAATACTTTTAATGTTCAAAACTGGAAAGAAATTTATAAAATAAATCAATCTTTCTTAAAATAAAAAGTCTTCTTGATCATAATGTTAATCAAATTGTGAGTTCGAAATAATGCTTGAAATACCACAATCAAGATGCATGATTGAATGAAGAATTTACCTCAGTGATCGTTGGTTGACATATGAGCCTTCAAAGCATATCTTGGAATTTAGACAGCCACCATCACAACTAATTTACCATCTATGCTTAGTCTATTTGGTCTCTAGGAAATGCCAATCACATAAACAATACTAACAATAAGAAAGAAGGGGAAGATACTGTACCAATTTTCTTTGAAGCTAGACCCTAAGAACAAGCTGCAAATGACATTGTTGGCATCGGAAATACATTTATCATGAAAGGAACAGAAATTACTTGCACAAGGGGATTGCAAACTCTTTGGTAGGACAGGATATCTGGGAAAGTCATTGTTTTAGCTGGAAATGCAAACTTCTGGGCTGTTGGCTATGAGGATAGATGCATACCAATGTGTATATATCTCTTTCACATGTGTACTTATAAATTTTCTTTTTTTCTTCGATTCTTCACAAATTTTAAACCATTCTTAACAGTTTTATTTCACACTTAGTCCAAAATTCTTCATAATATTCCTTGATGGTTGCCCTTCACAACATCTTGTTATACAATTGCAAACATCTAATAAATATTTGTTATGTTAATTACCGTTGAAGTTATAGCATTCTATTGTTGTTGCTGAATAAAGATGCTAACACAGTTAATAGATTCAAAACTTAGCTTCTTCTTCTTTTTTCCCCTTAAAGCTACCTCTACAAAACTTGTAAAAATGAAGGTTTTGCTACCATTGACTGGCTTAAGCTCTTGGTTGGATATATGATTCATTCAAGGGTTGTCTGCGTTGTCTGCATTTCAGTTTTCAAGTGGTTGATATGTTCTCGAGAAACTGAAGCATAGCTTAAGCCAGGCCTAACGAGCAGTGCGACTTCCAATGACATACTCAAGAGCTTCATCGGAGAGAGAGGCAATCAGCAGACTCAGGAGAGATTTATCAGTACGCAGCCAGTCTTTGTACACAACGGTTACTTTAGAGGTAACACATTCCTCATCCAAAATCGAAAATTTCGGAGGAGCAAGCACTGAGCCATCAAGATGTCCAAAGAGGTCGTAGCCCTGTAACACCGACTCGAGCTGATAGCTTCACTTCAGATAGTTGTCATCACTCAAGCGAATGGTAAGCATGCCGAGAAGACTCTCAATCTTGAGAGAGGAGATAGACGAAGAAGACGCCATGAGATTAAAGAACTCACAAGCAAAGAATTTAGGGTTTGAGACAAATCTAGGGAAAAAATGTGTAGCAAAGAACAAGAATAGAGAGAGAAGGAGGAGAAATAATGCAGCAAAGAAGAGAAAGAAGATCAAGATCGAGTCCTGGTGATTGACACCATGTTAACAATATAAGGAAGAAGAATTGAGGCTTAAGGAAAAAGATGACTATTAAAGAACTCAGAGATAAGAGAGAATTTGCTTTCTTTGATTTTCAATAGTATGAACAATTATAGAGAGATAATGTTTTATATCAGATGTTTAGCCTATAACTAATGCTTAACGAACTAACTAATTACAGCTGTGACATGTGAACCACACGTGCTAACACTAACAAACTCTTTAGCTAACTATTACTATTATCACGCTAGAATTCCGAGGTTTTCGCTTGGTCCTACAATGATATGCCCAGTATATCTCCTAATATCATCTCCCATAGGTTAAGCATTAACCTCGTCGTACAACTCGTCCGGCAGAAGTGTCGTGCTTACGACCCGGAGAGATATGAAGCCATGAAGCCATGAAGACAGAGATGGAGAAATTACAAAGCATCGGTTTCATCAAGGAGGTGGACTATCCCACATGGCTGGCAAATGTGGTAATGGTTTGCAAACTGAAGAAAGGTTGGCGCATGTGTGTAGACTACACCAACCTCAATCGCGCCTGTCCCAAGGATAGCTTCCCTCTTCCTGGAATCGACCAGCTTGTTGACGCCACTACTGGCCATGCCCTTCTCAGTTTCATGGATGCCTACTCTGGGAATAACCAGATCTTCATGCACTCTGACGACTAGGCCCACACATCCTTTATTGCCCACTGGGCTTATATTGTTATAAGGTGATGCCTACACATACTTCATGTTCATCATAGTTATTGCTTGAAGAAGCCTCAGCTAAGCAAGCCCCAAGCAAAAAAGTGGTTCTGGATGTTTAGCAAAACCAGACAGTCATAAAACCTTTTGTTGATGCGAGGGTTGCAACAAAAACTTCTGCTGATGGCTTAAATAAGGTTTCAGTGTCTGCCAGAATTTCTAGTCTTGTGAAACAGGGAATATAGACAGCCTAATGGTAGAAAGAGGATTATTCCAAAAGCTGTTGGGGTGCCTCTCCAGCAGGAAAATATATCTGTTGGGGCTCAGTCACAGGCTCATGACTTCCCTCATATGCCTTCTGATTAGAAAAATGATGATAATGGGTTAGTCGCTGCTGATGGTGGCATTAGAGAAACTTCTGTTAGGGGTCACTTGGTAGAAGCACTGAAATAAAGGAGGGACATGGGGTCACCCCTAGAACTGTGATTACCAAACGCCTAATTATTGAGAAGGTTATTGCATCCATAGGCATAGATGAAAGCATAATTGTGGAGAAGTCGGGGAATGTCAAGGCTTCTAGTTCGCTGGGCGCTTCTTGTTCCACTCTTTCAATTAAGGTGTTTGATAAGAAAGAAGGGGAAGATATTGTACCAATTTTCTTGGAAGCTAGACCCTGAGAACAAGCTGCAAATGACATTGTTGGCATGGGAAATACATTTATCATGAAAGAAACAGAAATTACTTGCACAAAGGGATTGCAAACTCTTTGGTAGGACAGGATATCTGGGAAAGTCACTATTTTAGCTGGAAATGCAAACCTCTGGGCTGTTGGTTGCGAGGATAGATGCATATAGGTGAGTTTATATCTCTTTCACACGTGTACTTATAAATTTTCGTTTTTTCTTCAATTCTTCACAAATTTTAAACCATTCTTAATAGTTTTATTTCACACTTAGTCCAAAATTCTTCATAATATTCCTTGATGGTTGCCCTTCACAACATCTTGTTATATAAATGCAAACATCTAATAAATATTTGTTCTGTTAATTACCATTGAAGTTATAACATTCTATTGTTGTTGCTGAATAAAGATGCTAATATAGTTAATAGATTCAAAACTTATAATATGGGTGCACTAATAACACAATATGACATGTTAGAATTATAAATAAAACAAACAGTAATGCTATTTAGACATACAAGATTGACCACATTAGGTGACCATCTTCTCTAACTGCTGATGTGGTCATGCCATGTCAATTAATAAATATTGCTATGTGAGTTCTATTTTTATTTACTATTATGTTAATAATTCTTAAAACCCAAAATCAAATTAACCCTACCTTTATGTGTGTGAAAATATTTTTCTATTGTAGACACTGTAAATTAAAGGGAGTTTCACTAAAACACCCAAAATGGGGGTTGAAATTATAAAAAAACCCAAGTATTATTTAAACATATAAACACACCCAAAACCCATCATTACACACAATCAAAACCCATTTATAAATACACCCAAAAAGTTGACTTTGGGGTTGATTTTGGGTATGTTTTTATATTTAAATAGTGCTTGGGTTTTTTTTATAAATACATGTCTAGGATTGGATTTATTTATAAATTTGTATAAATTAAACTCTTTCATTTTGTGTCTTCTGATTATACTATATATAGAGTGAGTTGATTCAAATTAAGTTCAATTTGGCAATAGGAAAGGAAAGGAAAAATATTTTCTTAAAATTTTGCATGATCTGTAAAATATATTTATTCATTTATAATTTATTTCAATTATAGATAAATTAAATCAAACTATCTTTTTAAATTTTGTGTGCAGTTGGTTTAAATGGGTTTAATGATATGCATTTAATTAAAACAGCTGGACATGGTTGTTTGTCTTGGTGTTTCCACGTTTTTTTTACTTTTTACTTTTTTACGTGCAACAACTCAGCAACTGAGTCACCGAGTTATTACACCGACCTTTCATTTTACATTTTGAAAACCAAAGTAGCGCCACAACAATACATTCCCTCTTCTTTTCGTCTGTCTGTCTGTCTCTCTCTATCTCTCTGTTTCTCTGCAACAAGTAAGCGAAAGCGATCGAGTGAGACTATTGAGTTCAACGATTGAGTGAGTGATTTTCTAACGACTGTGTGAAATTTTGGGTTCTGAAATCAAGAATGGCGTGGTCTGCTATAAAGTGCAGACAATTGGAGGATGGTTTTGGTTCCTTTGAGTTTGAATTTGAGTTTCAGACCCAGAAGAGGATAAGGTCTTCTAAGGTTTCTGAGACCCAACGGAATCTAGCCGTTGAGGAAAAGTCGACCGTTGGTCTTCCTCTGCGCAAGGGTCTGGCTTCGTCTGCTACAAAAAATGGCAACCCAGAATCAGAAGATCTGGGTTTTGATGAAATCTGTCAGACCCAGAAGAGGAAGAGGTCTTCTAGGGTTTTTGAGACCCAACGAAATGTAGCCGTTGAAAAAAAGTCGACTGTTGGTCTTCCTCTGTGCATGGGTTTGGCTTCGTCTGCTACAAAAAATGCCAACCCGGAATCAGAAGAGGGTTTTGATGAAATCTGTCAAACCCAGAAGAGGAAGAGGTCTTCTAGGGTTTCTGAGACCCAACGGAAGGAAAAGTCGACTGTTGGTCTTCCTCTGCGCAAAGTCAAAGGTTTGGTTTCGTCTGCTTCAAAAGAGACGTTGGATTGTTCCAAAGTCTTGGATTCTCTGATGAACCTCGGCCATGCGAGCTACTTCAACAAGCCTGTTGTTGATCCTGTGGCTGAGAATTTACCGGGTTATTTGAAAATTTAAGAGTGGAAGCATAGGCCTTGCTTGCTATTTGAAAATTTAAAGCTTCTGTCGGATGCAACCCATCAAAGAACACATTTCTCGTCCTGTTCGCCCTTGTTTTCCCACCTCTGTCGCATAATACTCCATTTCCACCTGCACCAAAAAAACAAAAAACAAAAAACAAAAAAATGTGTTTCATGAATTCAGACAAAAACTATAGACAATTATTGAAAACTCCTTAAGTTAAGTAAAGCTCAGTTTACATAAACCCCTTTTTTTGGTAATTTTTATGTGCCGTAGTACTTCAACCAGAAGTTTTCATCTAGTAGAGGGTTATCAATTGAAAATCGCTTGAAGGTTTTTTTTATTTTTTTTATTTAGTTTTTTTAATTAATTGTACAAAATTACGGCAAATGGTAAAATGTTCCTAAACTTTTTAAAAAGTGCTCGTTATTTTAGTGCTCGAACTTTCAAATTAATAAATGTGGTCCTTACATTTTTGGTCCATACATCAATTTGGTCATATTGTCATTGCATTCCATCATAATTTTCATTAAAATTGATTGCGTATCATCACCTAACAAGCTTCAAATTGGTAATCAAAATATAGCTCATCCGCCCAATAAACAATAAAAAATTCTCCTATCTTTTCCTTAAGGTCATCTACTCTCTATTTACGAGTTCACATTAGGGTTTCATCAAGTAAAGCAAATGACCTTGTTGAGAAAGAAAATGAGCTTTATTTTTTCATAGTGAATATAGGTTGTATTTTGACAAAAATTACGACTTTAAAGTTGGTCGCACGGCCACTTCCACTGAAGGTTTTGATGGAATGCGATGGCAAACACCAAATTTATGTATACAATTACAACTGTACACAAATAATACAAATATCCGTAAGAACGGCATGATAGCAGGCTATCAAAAGATGAAAGGAAAGAACCTTGAATCTGGGAGGTCACTTTGCAACAAGGGTTGCTTGTGTCTTCAAAGCCTGTAATAAATGCAACAAAAATAAGTCACTACTTGGTAAGAAATAAAGAAACGAAATGGGTTGGACACAGGCAATTCCAGGTCACAAAATTTCTTCCCCAAATGATGTTCTAGTACACATGGTAGGTTGTTCAGAAGTACTAGCTACTTTCCTCCGTATGGCACAAAATGAATGGAAAAGGTAAAATGAGAAAAGCAAAAAGGTAACTAGCACTTCTCATTCGTTATTCAAATATCTGATATGAAGTCATACTATTTTGCATTTAAAAAGTATGAAAAATTACTATTTTCCCTTAAAGAACATATGAATAAAAGAGTATTTTCATAATTACCTGTGGAAGCCGGATTCTGGATGATATTAGTCATAATATTATATGTGTTGACCAAAGCAAAATTGAAGTCAAGCATGCTTCTTTTGAGAGCATCTAGCTGTATCTTCAACTGAACGTTGTACATCTGAGCTGCTTGGCTCAGAGCTTGAGGGCTGCCTATAAAATTTGGTCTGTGAAGTACAGGACTGTAGCCTAGTGGATTTATTGACATTACCACAAATTTTCGACCACCCAAACTATACAATTTCTGCAACAATAAAGCGGATCATGATTTAAAATATTGTGTGTCAAAACTTGGCCCAGAAATATAAAATAAGGCTTAGTCAAACATGATCGAGAGAGGAATAGTAATCGTTGTAACGTTGTCCTAAAGTAGTTGTAGACGCCTCCCAACGTGCAACTTATAACTATCGTCTACGACTTCAATGTACAACTCTTGAAACTCACAAGATGTATGATTCCTTAAGCACAATCATGACATACGATATGCTTATAAGTGTGTATTAGATTACCCATTAATTGAAGAGAGGAAGAGAGGAGATAGTAGGAATATGGATGAAAGATGATTGGACACGAGGGTAAGGGAACATAATCGAACGTATACTCCATTTTTTCTTAGAAATATATACAAAAGACATGACTTTAAACTCAAGGGTCATCATATCACAGTGGAAAAGTATATTTAGCCTATGATCAGTGATTTCAAGTTCGAAACCATAGGAACCAACCCATTTCCCCTTCCTACCTTTGAAAACAAAAAACAAAAGAAAAACCAACATAACTTTTCACAATAATTACTTAATAATAAATAATTAGCTTTGAATATTAATAAAAATAAAAATAAAAACATAAAAATCCAACCATTTGTAGCAAGTTGGAGAATTCTTGTTATATATTATATATCAAAATGCACCTGGAGTTTTTGAGCCAGAGAGGCCATGAGACGTCTAGTGAAGGCTTCAAGGCCAAGTTGGAGGTAGGATCTCCTGGCGAAGTAGTTGAACATGTAATCGTTCCCACCAACTCCGACAACAAACAAGTAGCTTGGAAGTGATTCAGAGCTTTTGCACCCCAGCTCAGCTTCTAGCTCTGGCAATGTCTCCTCCTCAAAGTCCCGAATTTGCTGGCTCAAATTGATAACATTGCCCTGAAATATTAATCACAGCCACTATGATATTTTGCAGACGAAATAAAATTTGAAATTAATATTATTTTTTGTATGAATAGGGATCATTAATATTGTCATACTGGTCATGCGTGCTGCTGATGCTTCTAAAGTATTATAGGCTACATGTGAAACACGTGAGTTATTTGTCTATGGTTGCCGTTCACAAGTTATATATGAAATTAACCCCTTTTGCATGAATGAAGAAAGATTAGTTGGTACAAATTCATATGACATGCGATCTTACAGTTGACAAATATATTCAGTCTAGATTTAACGGCAGGTTTACTAACTTGGAATCAAAGTGAATATAAATCGGAGTGAAACATGAATCAAAGCAAGCACGAATCACTCCAAGACATTCCCATTAAAGTGTTTACCATATAACTGTCTGGAATCAGAAGAAAAATGACTTTGGATGGAGGTGACTCCTATTCTTTCCATTCCTATTCCATGTTAGTAAACATGCCATAAGGCTTAAAAATGAGTTTGTATCATCGTATGCAATATGAGTTAATACCGCTAAAATTTTCCAGCGTTTAAATAAAAATAGAAAACACATAATTAAGCATGAAAAAGAAGGTAATATGATGAGATTAATTAACGAATATCAGTATAGTTCGACGTACCGCAACTGAGCCGGTATCATCTAATATACCGGAAGAGCCAGAGGCATGGTTGACGCCATGAACAATTTTACTTCCCTTGGTTGAAGGGTCTTTAGAAGGTGGGATGAAGGAAGGAAGCTTGAGTTGGTCACCAAGAAGGTCAACGACATTTTTGCCATTTGTGAATCTCCCAGAAGGTCCGTTCGGGAAATCAATACCATATGGCAAATAATCGGCTTTAGCCCTGCTTTCAAAGAAGTTATTGTTGCCATTGTCGACCAGAGAGCTTCCAAACACAAACATGCCTCTGGTCGCAGCTCCATCTTCTGCGAAGTTACAAATGGAAATGGATAGAGGCAGACGAACAAACAAAGAGAGATACAAAAACACAACTTGTTTGGAAGGTTGTTTTAGAGAGTGGTATTGCATGGTGGGTGGTTTCTGTTGTTTTTTTCTTCTGTTGTAGGGAAAGAAGCAGGGATGTATGAACTGGTATTTATATGAGTAGTAAAGGCTTTCACGTTTAACACACCTTTTCTTTTCCTCCCACTTGCAGCCCTTTCATTATTGTTTAGACTTTATGTGCGACAGGTTTTGTGAAATTTGATGCAAATTATTTTGTTTCTCAAGTTTTGTTTTAATATCAAAGTTGTTTTAATAGAAATGACACTCTTTGACTTCTTACAAACAAATCACAGTTCGACACATATGCAAAATTAACTTATTAAAACTTACAAAAAGAAAAATTTGTGTACACATGTCACTGTAATTTGTTTAGGAATATGTACAAGGAGCTAATTATTTTTCTTTTGAACCGGCCATATATTTTGAGATTTGCTAGATCCAAATTTTTTTTGTTATTTATTTATCAAACCTCAAGTTTTTTTTCTTTTTGATATTGCGATATTCTAAAACTACTATAAACCAACTAGCCTAACATTCTTGGTTTGTTCTCACGCTATATATATGCTTTCTAAGAGCACTTCCACCCCAAAGGGCAAGGGAAAGGCAATGTTTGTGTTTGGGCCACAAATTGGCATACCCAGCCCAGCAAAATTTAGGCCCAGAATGAAGCTGCAAAAAATCAAAGAAAGATGGAAGCCCAAAAGCCAGAGGAGACCAGCCCAAAACTCATCAAATCTGGGCCTCACAGGCCCAATATAAAAGAAAGAAGAAAGCCCAGAAGTAGGAACAATCCCACGTGACCTCTCTGAAAAAAGAAAAGTCAGCAATGGCAACTGTCACAGGAGAAGTAATTGAAGGGTTCATAATATCAAGATTGATTCTGGAAAAGCTAAAGATCAAATCCCTCTTACACATACATGATATATATATATACATACTCAGAGATTTTTTCCCCTGTCTTTTCAGAAGGTAATTCTCCCAAGGAGATAAGCAAGTTACAATCTCAGGGAGGGATAAGCAGGAAAGTAGGAAGCTGTCCAGAAAAGGAGTCAAAACTAACCATCACCGGCAAAATATCACGAGGGGCAGTTGAAATTGGGAAAGAGATTAGGTTCCTTTTCAAGAAAATCAGGGAAAGTGATTGCCTATCTGTTGAGAGCCTATCTACCAAAAACTGAGGAAACCTTTTTCTTTCTTTTCTTTTCCATTTTTTTAAAAAGAAAATCTTTTTGAAAGGATTTGCCGCCCATTATTAAAAGAATTACCCTACTCCAGAAGACATCTCTTATAAATACAAGAAGGAGTGAACAGGGCAAAGGACAATAAATCTTACAACAAAATTTCATCATTCAACCAAACAAAGGTCCTACACAGGTAAACATTCACATAAACAAGCTCAGAGTCGACCAACAAGTCCACTTAAATTTCAAGTGAAAAACCAGTCCCAGATCAGAATGCCCAGAATCCAGACTTAGGAAGCAAGTCATCCAAAACGAGATTTCTCTCGTTACAAATTTGGTTCAGCAAAAACCAACACAAGCAGAGTCTGAGCCTCCTCCAAGCATGGAAAACCCCAGCCAAATTCACGGAATAGCCTCTAGCTCACCAACGTCCTCAAGAACAGCCACTTCTGCCCTTTCAGACTGAAGAAACCACAGTTCTGCCTACTCGGAAGCTTCGCAAAAGCTTGAGGTACATTAAAGCTCTGCCAGAATCAACCTTTGGCATCGATTTGTAGTTGAAAATCGGGCAATCAGAGTTGTCTACGATCCAGTCCAGCCCAGACATTCCCAGTCCAGCCCATCACAGAGCCTCCCATCCAGGCAGAAATGGAGATCTAGCCATCTCTTTATTTTTTTTGCATCGACATGTATTTTTGTAGTCTTGTAAAAGGTACTTCCGCCCAAAAACAGCTTAAATTTCATCAACTATTCTGGCCAGAACAACCTCTTTATACTGAGATAAATTGTTAAAGTCCTCACCAGTCTGAGGCAAGAAAAGAACTTACTTGGGAGATATTCCTCACCCAAATTCACAATCGCTTGTAAAAGGAAATCAGTAACTTGGGGCGCAAGTTATCCATTCCAGACTAAGTCTGCTAGACTGTTCATTACTAGCAGTGGCACGCTCGCACACCAAAGAAAGCTGACTTGTTGACCAGTCTATGGTTCTCAAGGCAGTGGGGAACTTTGCCCTTCCATCATAGGAGTAAACACAAAACGGGTGAACAATTTGGCACGCCCGGTGGGACCTCTCAGTATACATATTCTCATTGAGTTCTTCACCAGTTCATGAATACCGGAAGCTCTAGCCAGAACCCACACCACGGCATGGAAATAAACCAAGTGGCCCTCAGGGAAGGACTGGAATCAGAAGAAAGTGATGCCCGACATTCAGCACATGGCAGCACAGGGAGTAGGAGGTCCAGGACCGGTTCCAGAAGGATGAACCTGATGCAGGAATCTGTGTTACGACAAGAGGTCACAACACAAAGAAGCCAGGATACTCTAAACAATATGACAGCCATGATGCAGTGGCAGGTCAACAGGCAATTCAGGAAGGATCGAGAGGCTGCCATGGCCAGAATTCCCAATCCCGATGAGGTGGTCCAGCAACTAGACCTTCCCTATGGTCCCCCACCAGGGTTGGCATGGCCATATCAAGAGAATCCTCTTATTGCACAGATAGCTGGGATGCCAGAACGGGGAGGAACCCAGGCTGGACACCGGGAAGTGGCTTTTCCTATCCAAGAACGTCTGGCCCCAATACAGCCAGAAGGTCCTGCGCCAGGACAAGTTCTACAGAACCAGCAAGAGCCTCAGCCTGCTCCGCAACAAGCGGCCCCACAAGATCACCCTATGGAAGTTCTGCCTGAACATCCAGCAGTGGTACCCTACAGGCCCAGAAGAATGGACCCCAATCCATTCCCTCCACCTGCAAGAGGAAGGAGAGGCAGAGGGGGAAATTACCCCTATGCTAATAACGACAGGAACAGGCAGGGGGCAAACTGGAGGAACCACCCAGGCCTGGAGGAGCCGGAGGAGCACAGGGAAGAAGCTCTGCCTAGACCATATAGGGCAGAACCACGATTCAATCATGCCCAGCCAGAACAGGGACAAAACCTTCCCCCTGTTAATGCTCTAAATGACGTGGGGGCATTGCAGAGGATGATCAGAGAAATGATGGAGCCTGAGGCAAGGAGGGGGGAAAGACCCACCTATAGGAAGCCATATCCACCTTACATTGATCAGATACCCTTGTCCCCGGGCTTTAAAGTACCAAACTTCACTTTATTCAACGGAGAGGATCCTCATGCTTCATCAGTTGAGCACGTAGGCAGATTTTCTACCCAATGCATAGCCATAGAGAATAACCCACTGCTAAAGCTAAGGCTTTTTGGGAATTCTCTCTCTGGACAAGCTTTCACCTGGTACACTACTCTGCCAGCAAATTCCATTCAGACATGGGAGCAAATGGAGAGCGTCTTCCATGACTACTATTACAGGATTCAGCCAGAAGTCACCATCAGTGACCTTGCAGCTCTCAAACAGAGTGAAGATGAACCTGCCCAAGACTTTATAAACAGGTTCAGGAAGCTCAAAATGAAGTGCCGAATCCCCATCGAAGAAAGACACTTCATTCAAATGGCTCAGGCTGCCCTCAAAATCTCTCTAAGGAAAAGATTTGATGGGATGCTGTTTGGAGATCTGGCAGAACTGGCAGATAAAGCGGCCAAATACGAGGAATTGCTCAGAGAGGAACAGCAGAAGAGAAACTCTTCCAAAGGCACGTATTATAAATCCCCTTCCTCCTCAATACATATGATTGAAGTAGAGTCAGAAGAAGATGCGGAGGAATCAGAGGAGAGAGAGGTTGCAGTTGCGGAAATGGCAAAATTAAAGCATCCCATCAGTTGTAAAACTCTTACAAAACCTCCAAGGGATCAGAAGCCGCCACCATTCACAGGAGGGTTTGTTCCAAATAAACCCATGCAGAACAAAGTGTATTCCTTCGATCTGACCAAAGTAGATGCCTTGTTCGATGAGATGTTGCTACAGAAAGCAATAGAGACACCTCACAGGATGCCCAAGCCAGAAGAACTCAAGGGCAGACAGTATTGCAGATGGCACAATTCTTGGAATCATTCTACCAATAGTTGTGTTGTTTTCAGAGATGTCATACAGGAAGGAATAACAGCAGGAAGGCTGAAGCTAGCAGAGAAACCTCCATCTGTCACCACAGATCCTTTTCCCCAGCCACAAGTTAACATGGTCAACCTAAATTGCCCAGAACGGAAGAAGGACAGACCAGTCATGCAGGCTGGCTCCAGTGGAAGCAGAATAGTTTCAAAGGAGACTATGGAAAGACCAAAAGCAACCATTTCAGCTGGAATAGTGCTTTGCAGCAGGTGCAATTGTGAGGCTGAGTTGGAAGTAGTCCTGGAAAAACAGGAGCTGCCCATTCCAAGTGTTTTTGACCGGATCGGAACCACGCCCCATGATAGGACCAGACAGAGAAACTACCCTAGGCCTGTCCAATCCAACAGAAGAGTGACTAAGCAGCCCAAAGAGGAAATATCAATAAAAGTGCCCGGAAGTAACAAACCTTTGGCGGCCATCATTGAAGGCAGGTGGTACTCTATCGGGAAGAATGGCAGACCAACCATGGAGCTGACAAGAACCCAGAGGAGGAGGGTTCAGAGACAGTACTGCACATTCCTCAATAACGAGAAAGACGCACAGGTGCTTCCAAATGCCAATTCTGCCAGAAAAGGGAAAGAACCAGAATTATTTCCCCAGACAGAACAAGCAGTCTCTCAACTACAGAAGTTGACAAAAGCAGAATCCTCAGAGAAACCTCCTGTCCATCCTGCCCCCGCCTCAGGAGGTCTACTTGGAACTCCCCAACTAGAGGAAAGAACCGATCCTGTTTCAGGAGAAGGACAAGAAGACTGGGTTGAGGAAGATGAAGAGGAGCAGCTGGATTATGAGCCATCCACAGATGACCAGAATACCCTCCTCGGG